CTTCTCATGCTCTTCCTCCCTGCTCTGTTCTTAGTTGCTCTCCTTATATCAAAGAAGACATTTGGCATTTGTTTTTAAGAGTTTGGCTAGCTTCACTTAGCATAATCTGCTCTAGTGCCATCCATTTCCCTGCAAATGCCATGATTTTGTCATTTTTTAGTGCATTTTTTGTGTATAAATGTGTATAAATGTGGCATTTATACACAATGGAGTATTTGTTTTTTTCTTGACTGACATTTAACTTTTAGTGAAAAAAGTTAGGTTTTAATGCAGGTTCAGTTTTTTTTTTTTTACTGAAAGCTATACAACCTTGGTCATAACATAAAATCACATATAGCTAATATCAATTCAGCATTCTTAACATCAAAAATATTAAATTTATCCTAGCTTCAGGCTTCTGACATGCAATATATATTTAATAATAAACATCAATTTGCATCTCATAAATAAGGATTATTATAGTATCTCTTCACTTTGAATAGTTTTTAGAAAAATGTGAAAATGGCCACAAAACTAAAATCTATTATTGATATAACCTTCAAAAATATCTTGTTTTGGGCTGGGGATGTGGCTCAACTGGTAGCGCGCTCACATGTGTGAGGCCCTGGGTTCGATTCTCAGCACCATGTAAAAATAAAACAAAGATATTGTGTCCACCTAAAACTAAAAAAAAATAAACACACACACAAAAAATCTTGTTTTTATTATTTCTGAACCTTCCTGTGAATAAACTATTTTAGTCAATCCATTTGGATGCTCATATTTTTCACATACAACTTGCAAAAGATAGTAATCCTCAACTAATGCTTTGATGGAAAAATACACAAGCATAATAATTTTTTTGTAATCTGTACAACAGTTTTAATTCTTTCTACTTTGATTTTTAAAATACAGGTGAAGGGAGCATATGATAAGTAATAGGGTTAGCTTCTCTTCCCCAAACGAATAGTTATTGTAAATCAGGTAATAACAACTGTTAGCTACAGGAAGTAATTTTGTTTACCTGTTTAATTTTTGAATCCCCAATCTAATCACAACTTATGGTAAGTTATTTACATAACTGTTTTATGTATTTACTTTTTATAATATAGGATCAAAAGATAGTCATGTGACAATGAGTATAAGCTTTTCTGGGTTATATATAAGTTATATTAATTTAAAAACATTTTGTCAACATATTCTTGTTTGTTTTTATTTTGCAGGTTATACTAATAGAATTCTTACCAAAATATCCCATATTCCGACCTGACTGAGGAGTTTTATTCAGTCACTTCTGTGTTTCCTGTCATTTCCTACCCTTAGTGCCTTGTAGATGATTATGGAATGAAGATGGTCTCCTTCGCTGTGTTCAAGTTATTCTTTATAATGGTAGAGTATTCTCCTCACTCTTTTATTTTTGTTGGTTTAAGAAGATAATTTGCACATTTTTTTGTTGTTAAATGAGGCTTGTGTTTTGCACTCTCAGTTTTTAAATAAATACACATATACATATGTGTACACACACACACACACACACACACACACACACAGTTGCCACTAAAAGTAAAACATCAGTGCTGGTGTTCAAAAAACAAAAACCTTGTTTTGAGCATGCTGCCTTATAATTTTCATACTCACTGTTTCTAAATATGCATCATTTTTTAGGCTACTTAATGCTCTGTAATCCCTTACTGGACACACTTAAATAAGCTTTTGGTAGCTTTTAGAAATGGTTTTACTCTGCTTTTAAAGGACATGCAATTAATAGCAATGGTTTGTCCTGCACTTTGCTAAAGTATCACTTATGTTAGTGGATAAAATATTTAAACTCCTAAACACTTGTAAATATTGTCTCTTTGCATAATGTAAAATATGTTATGCCATGGTTTACAGAATGTAATATTACTCTTATTGTATTGCCAACAATTCGCATAGATTTTAATATGAATGTCGTTTGCAAGCATCCTTTTGAATGTAGAGTCGTTAACATGCTGTTTTATGGCAAAGCCATAATAAACATGTTAAAATTTCAGGTGTAGGGCAGGGTTGCCCAATGTAACAAGTGGATTAAAATTGAAGTCATTATCTCAGATATTGTGCATTGCATCCAAACCCAAGAACCTTATTTTTTGCCATTTAATTCAGTATTTCCTTTTTTGAACTCCACCCCCACCCCCAAAGAATTTATTTGACATCTGGCAATTTCACAGCCTCACTGTCCTTCATTTCTTTCCCTTTGTATATTGCCTTTCCTTTGAAAATACACACAATTTTGACTTTTAAGAAGTATCTTGAGATTTTACTTGTCTTGGAAGGTAATCTAGAGTCTCATGAAACCTACTGCTAACCTTTATCTGGAGTTCAGATAGTCTGTTTTGGGAAACAGAGCTACTTAAGTTACACCAAAATAATATGGAGTGGCTGAATCATGGTTAATAAAATACTTTTAATCCTCCTTTTGAGGATTTTTTTAAACATTTGGAAATTATTAATGAAGAAAGGTGTGTAGACAAAAGTATTTTAGTTGGTACATTTACCACCCAAGTAGCCAGCCCTTGGATTGGTATGTGCGCTATTTCTCTTCACAATTAAAATGACAATACCACTCCTTCTACTAATTTTGAATTTTAGTGTAACAAAAGCTTTGTATCACTTCAAGTAAAAGACAGATGTTTGCCTGTGTGTAGGCATTATTTGTAATTCATAGTGCTAAAGATAAATTTAAAGTGTCTGGGATTGAATAATATTCTATTTGTCATCTTACAATCTTGCTGCTTTTAGTAAGCTTTTTTAGGCAAGCATTCATCCCAGTGAAGAGAACAATCATTTCTTCACATAAGGTGAAACCTTTTTAGGCTACTTTTAAAATTCATTCTTAATTTGAAGTTCACAGTCCTTGACCATTAGAAAAAGAAAAAAAAGAGACACTATGTGATAGGAGATTATGATTGTTTGCACAAAGACTCTGTGGAGCTCCATTATCCCCATGCCACCCAACCACCCCAGTTCTCTTTTAATATATTATGTATGCCTGCAAATATCATGTGTCTGCCTGCTGCAAAATTGAAGGTGTATTTTTATAGAAATGGTGGAAACCTCTGAAAATACATACCCACTGTCTTGTTTTCTAGTTAAGATCAGGGAAAAATTGTATCTGTGGTTTATGTTCCAGCTAATGTCATTAAAATTATGCTTCAGACTGTGACATTTTAATACCAAAACTGATTGCCAGCATAATATAGAATTTCTAATTATCACTGATAGAATAATTGTTTTTAAATGTCAACCCTTATAATCTTATTTTTCCTGTAACCTTAGAATTTGAACATATGGTTATCATAGTAACTTTTTCTGCCATGTATAAATCATACTTGGTTTTGTTTAAACAATGGGAAGTGGTGAATTGTTTCCATGAAACAGATATTAAGAATAGTGTGTCTGGAGGTAACAGAACATAGAATTCAAGACATAATTGTATTTGTCATAAAAACAATTTGACAGAATGTGTAATTTTAATTTTAACCAATCACTCTTTTTTTTTTTTTTTTTTAGTTTTCATTATTCTGGTTAATTAATCTTAATTTCTTAAACTACCCAGAAAACACCCAATTTTCTTTTCTTTTTTCTATCACTTTCTCTGTCCTGTGATGGCTTTTTCAAACTGTTTTCCCTTTTAGGAGGCTGATTAGCAATTGGGTATTTTGGAGTGTTGGGGGAGTTGTTTTCTTTTTAATGAGATTGGCATCAGTGAATACTGAAATGACAAGAGTACACTGTGGTGATTAATTCCTCCCCCACTGAGGCTTTTATTTTTATCCTCAGGATAGAGCATACTTGTATTTTTCCATTCGGTTAGTAAAATGTTTTGTGAAAGTTGTTTTTCAATTGAAAAAAGTAATTTTGAATTTGTTGTATAATATTTCTTTATGAAATCTTCCATGGTGGTTTCCAGAGAAAAATGACATGTATTTGCCAAAGTATATAAATCTCAGTAGGTGTTAAAGTTACAAGTTAAAATAGTTCTTTGAAATTCATTTTCCAATGCTTCTTGTTTGGTCAAAGATTCTGTCCTAACAAATTGATTGAATTGATAATTTTAAAGCTCATCCAAAAGGCCAAGAGCATATGTAGTATTGATAAAAATATAGACAAGTATTATTTAAAGATTTATTAACCCCATTACAGACATGTCCTCTTCGCTTTGTTCCCTTCTTGTCCCCATGTTAATTTAGGAGCGAGTAGTCAAATTTTAAAAGTGGAAAAGTGCCTTGTCTTTTTCTGAACAAAGATAATGTGGAAGGAAGCAGAGTGAATGAATTAGTAGATCATTAGATTAGAAATTGTTCTTTCGACTAGGTATAAGACATATTGAGTATCTTTTATTTATTATACATTCTGTTTCCTTGTTTTCCTCCGATCATGTGATATATTAATGACAAAATATTACAGAAGAGGACTATCAGTCACTTAAAAAATTGTATAATTTTAATGCTAGTAAACATGTAATTTAACATGGTTTTGGAAGGACAGTGGTTATTGACTGAAATCCTACCAAAGCCCACTTAAGTATTTAATGTCCATACTCTTATGACTTCTAAACACTAATGTCTGAGAAATTAAATCATGTTGATTTTTATCACTCTGCCATTTTAATGAAATTTATTTGTGGTTTTTGATAATTTAAGTAAAGTTCAGTAACATTTGTAAGCCTTTGAACAAATAGGGTTTTTCAAATGTATGAGAGCTTTAAAAAATCATTAGCATTATAATTTTGTTTACAGATAAGCCACTTCTTTAAAAAAAATTAAACCTTACTACTTGAACATAAAACCCCAAACAATATTTCATTAGAATTTACTATATTGGTCTAGCAAGATATATAAATTATATTCATTTGACTAATGGGAGAAGTTTCACATAGTGGAAATACCTTTTGCTAATTTGATTATAAGTGCTCAAATTCATTAAAATTGGGTCCTCCTATTCCTTTTAAAGCAAAATCTGCTTTTAAAAGCAAAGTCTGCTTTTAAAGCAAAATCTATTCTGCAAAACAATTTTCAAGTTATTCAAGTTCCCTTAAGTGGTAAACTATTAGAATTTTCAGTAAAAGGAATAGGTTTACTAATACCTGTTCATGTAATATGTGGGCTGAAAAGGGATACATCTATAAAGATATATCTATATCTATTTATAAATTTATATATTTATAAATAGATATAGGTATATATTTATAGATATATCCCTATCTTTCCCTAATTTCCCTTACCTGATTCTGAGCCAGCCTTTTTATTTTGATGATGTCAACCTGAGAATATGTTCCATTTTCTGTGGACTTTGTCAAACTCATACTATATGAAGTAATGATCTAATATTGTGGACTCTAGGCAGTTAACTTAAATAGCATGTCAGTGTTTTTGTTTGTAAAATTATGGGGTTGAACCTAGAACTGGACAGAAAATTAGAGATTATCTAACATTCTGAGATTCTAGAAATCCACAGGAAAGTTTTATTGTACAGAATCTCAGAATGATTATTTTCAGACCTACTACCCTTTGTGGAAACTCTCACAGTGCCTTGTACACAGTAAAAGTTCAGTTTGCTTGCTGGCTGGTAGTTGATGTGTGTTAATATCATACAGGCTCAAAGAACCTGATGCCTGCTAGACCTTACTTAGTCCACCTTGATGATAAAAGTGAATGTAGATTCCCTAGGAACTGAGGTCTGAGGTCTCTGAGCTTTGCCTATGTGGAATCTCACAATTGAGTTGGTATCCAGGCAAGAATTATAGCTGTGACAACAATGGAGATATGGAAGGATCCACTCTGAAGTTTTAATGTGAAGAGTTTCACATCCTATCCAACATTTGCTTCAGTGTCTTATCAAGTTCCACACTTTCAAAAAGATCTTTTGGAACAAATTGATAAAATTTGGTAGAAAGGGAAATGGTGTGGAATTCAAACCCAAGTCACTTCTAGTTTAATTCTTAGCTCTGCTGCTTAATTCCTCTGTACCTCATGTCCTCATTGCTGAAGTGGGGACAATAATCTGGACCTACCTCACAGGGGAATTGAGGATTTTTTCACATATTTGTGTGATTTGAAGATGATAGAAATATATACTGGATATCATAATTGTGTAATTTCTAAAGAGATTCCTTGAAATCCATGTCGTAATGTTTTTCTTTCACAGAACGAGTGTTGCAGTTTATCTATATATCAGTAGTAAATTTTGTTATTGATTCCTTGTTTATTAAACATGAATTATTGTATTATGTTAATACTTGATTTAGGGAGGAAAAGCAGGGGATGTAAACCAGTGGTTCCCAACTTGGGGTAGATGAAATTAGCAGTAGGGTTATCCTTAATCCTTTTGCATTATTTCAAAAAAGATACTAGAAACCATACTTTGACCCATAATATTCCTGCTACACAGCTAACTAATAC